TTTTATTTTTTAATATAAATTTATGATAAAAATATATATTTAAAATATTTTTAATTAAATTATAATCTAAAAACACAAGTTAAATAAACTTATATTTTAAGACACAACTTAAACAAACACTTAAAAATATAAGTAATTCGAACCATCAAAATGCATAATTAATTATTTTTAAAGACACAAATTAAATAAACCCATATTCTAAGACACAAATTAGGTAAACAATTAAAAATATAAGTAATTCGGCCATAAAAATACAAAATTGATTATAAAAAATGAGTGTCCTCTTAGTAGCATCGAAAGCATATTGTTTCAACCAATAAGGGATTGGATCAAGTGCTAAGCGGCTTGTTTCAGCTTAAGTAAGGTTTCGAGTTCGAGTTCGAGTTCGAGTCCTTGCGTATGTAACAGTTTTTGTTGGGAGACTCACTCACCATTTTCAGGTGCGCGACCTGAATCGAGTCCGAATTAATCGAGGCGAAACCTTGGATACCAAGCAAGAAACTGAAAAAAGATGGGGTGGATCCCATAGGATTGGAACTAAAGTATAACTTCGGAAGTCACGTGGGTTGTTACAGTTTGGAACTCTGAATCGTGGCGGTTAAACATCCAGTTACTATAGATTATTAGATACCTTGCGTGCAATTAGGAGGCGGTGGCGGTGATTGTGAGTGGGAAAAAGACAACTGCACGTTTTGTATTTGTGGGGCCACTTGCCACGCAGTGAAGGAGAAAGACACGTGTTATCTTAGAGACGATTCCTTGGCAAAGTTTTCAGTTTCTTACCGTTACACTACCATTCTATGTCAGCTCCGTGTGGAAATTGCAACAACAATAATAATTATAATTAAATTATAATAAAATATTTATTTAATAGGTAGCACTAATAGGAGGTTTTTTTGTTTTTTTAAGTAGTACAATAAGAGAATTGCGAATGAGGATGGTTAATGGTTGAATTTTCTCATGAGTGAGTGAATATAAGTTGTTGGTGAACTCTTTTAATTTAATCAGAAGTCTTAGTTTAGAGCATTAGGAATGTTGTTTCATTAAAATTTGTGAGGAGGAGTTTTGCTACCAGTTAAATTTTACTCTATTCAAATTCGAATTAGTTGTTGGCTCAATAAACTTTAGAATATTGGGTGGTCCAAACAAAAAATAATAATAATAATGGTTGAATCTTGAAATTTTAAGAATTATTATTTTTCACGAAAGAGTTGTTACAATTAAGTTACGATAATGATTAATAATATGAGGTTAAAATGGTGTATCTAGATTATTCCTAATCCTTTTTTAAAACATATGAATTTTATCATGAATGAAGATATATATTTGATGCCTGTTGCTAATCCATTAGAGGTTGCTCGTGTGATCATTCCTAATCCAATAAGCCTTTTTCTTTTTATCATTTTAATTTTATTAGATGTCTACAAATGAAAAGATATATGAATTTGAGTGTAGTTATAGTCATATATTATAATAAAAAATATATAATTTAGGTTGTAATTATAATTACAAATTATGTTGTTAAGGTTGTATAAATATTATTTAGTATTAGTAATATTTTATTAATATATTATTTTTAAATAGTTAATTGTTACACCTAAAATTATTAATTTATAAATTATTTTATCAATTATCAACTATTAAATTTAACAATTAAATTAAACAAAATTATATAATCTTAACATTATATCTTGTCGGCATAACCACATCCTCCCATGGTATTTGTCATTAGGCGAACATCTCATGGATTGATGTTTATGGCTGAATTGAATTGGAAAGATTCCATAAAGATTTGAGTGAATAAGATTGGAACAAACTAATTCCTAGATGCATGGCTTCAAAATTAGTCTAAAAATTAATAATTACATCTAAAGAGAGAGTCTAGAGTCTAGACAAATATAAACAATTTGCAACTTAAGAATCCAAACTTGTCGTGACCTAAGCAGCCAGCCGTCAGAAAACAACGTCAGTGTATGGTCTACATTCCTGGTATAAGAACGACAACACAAAGTTACGAAGAACCTGGGACCGAGGACAGGTGGAGAAGAAACCTCAGGAATGGTAGTTGAGTTTGGATAGGTAGAACCGAAAATCAGATGTACCCATTTCCAAACTAACCTGTAAAAAGGAAAGCAGAGGAAAAACAGGGGAAAGGGGAGGAAAAGGAAGGAAAGAATTAAAGGAGAAAAGAAAGGTTTTTGTTTTTTTTTGGAGGGGTCTTTCTCTTTTCTTCTGGGGATGAGGGAAATGTCGTTGTATGTGAAGAGGGATGTGTTAGAGGATGTGGTGATAATAGGGGGATTGATTGGGGTGCAATTTGTGTATGCGGGGAACTCTGTTTTTCTGAGTTATCTTATGTCTCTGGGTTTAAACCCTCTCACCATTGTTATCTTCTCCACCTTTGCCACCTTCATTATTCTCTCTCCTGTCGCGGTTTATTTCGAAAGGTTTGATTTTCTGTTACTTTCTCAGGAAAATTATGAATGGAAACTACAATTAAGGGTGATAATGAAATTTTTATTTGATGGATGGTTATGCAGGAGCAAATGGCCAAAGCAATTCAGTTTGAAGTTAATGATTCAGCTGGTTTTGATCTCCTTTGGAGGGTAAGCAAATTTCTGCATTTTCTTAGTATTATTCAGATAATTAATTGCCTTTCAATTTCTGTTGATTAGTATTATTATTACTATTATTATTTGTTATAAATATCAGAAGACAAATTCCTTATGTTTTTCAATCATAGTCTTCGGTGATTTCTGTATTTCAGGGTAACATTGTTTCAGTCCTTTTTTCTCAAGGGGATTAAGCTTACTTCTCCAGCAATGGCAACAGCCATGCCAAACCTTGCTCCAGGACTCATCTTTATAATTGCTTGGGCTTGCAGGTATAACTTACGAGATTCAAATTTCCATTGCCTAGTTCTATTTTCACACAACAGATTTTCACAGAAAAATCTGCAAATAAAAGAAATTCTAAATGGGCACTTCATTCTCCTAAAGAAGAAAAACAATGGTTATGCAGGTTAGAGAAAGTAAAACTGAGTAGCCTGTACAGCAGAGTAAAGATTGTTGGGACATTATTGTGTGTTGTAGGTGCCCTTTCAATGAGCCTAATGCACAGCAGTGTCTCACCTAAGGAGTCCAACAGGGCAGTTCCCTCACCTGGCATGATCTTTGACAGGGACAAGATCATTGGCTGTTTGTACCTTATGGCTGCTGTCATTGTTTTGTCAAGCAATGTAGTGTTGCAGGTATGTCTTAAATTTGAAAAGGGGTTTTCTTCTGATTTAAGAAAAAAAGAAAAAGGCATTAAGTTCTTGCTGAGGATTTCTGTTCTTTTTTCATCAGGCCAGAACTTTGGGTGATTTTCCTGCTCCAATTTCCCTGTGTGCTATAACATCCTTGATTGGGGTCTTGATAACTGCAATGGTACAGTTGTTTGAAGATCACAAGTTTGAATTTGATTGGCCCCTTATTAGCATTTGGGACCTAACAGCCTATTCTGTGCTGGTAAGTTCATCATGTCTTGTTACTTCATTCAAGTTCTCCAAAAGTGTTTGATGAAATGCCTGAATGAGAAACCAAGGTCCAAGAAACTATGACTTATTATTATTGAACCACTGGATACACAGGGAGGTACTGTGAGTGGAGTTTGTGTGAGCTTCAATGGATGGGCAATGAAGAAAAGGGGACCGGTACTCGTCTCAATGTTTAACCCAATTGGAACAGTTATCTCTGTCATTCTCTCCATCATTACCTTAGGTGACACCATCAACATAGGAAGGTAAAAATTGGAAGATATCATCATCTGAATGCTTAATAGATTATGGAGATCACATCTCCTTTTCAGCAATCTTATACCTTGACCTTCTCTGATCCCCAAAAAAAAA